CCAGCCAAGAATGTGACCAACTCCCCAGGCTGGGCTCTTCCAGGAACCGGCGCCGCCTCCCCCGGCTCGCTTCTCCTCCTCCTCCTCCTCGCCGTTCTGCAAAAGGCGAGCGAAGCCACGCACATGCGCGCGGGCGCACACAGACAGAGCGAAAGGGGAGGGGGGAGCAGCCCGACTGGCCTGCGAAAGCTGCCAGAGGGCGGGTAAAGCGTGTGGTTCCCAGACCTCAGGGCTGCGCAGAAAGACGGGCGGCAGGGCAGGCTTTGGGCTTGACTTCCTAAAGGCAGATTTGAAAGGAAGTCTTTGCGAGCGGAGGTGGAAACATCTGGGGCCCCAAGTTGGACGATAAGGCATCCAGGCCCAGGGGACTGCCCACAGCCCAGTTGTGACGGGGACAGGTGGGTAACCCCAGGCCCCTCGGCTGACTGGCCAAGGCTAGCCCAGGGTGGTATTGTGCACATGATATCCTTTGGCAGGGTATTCATCCTGGCCCTTACTCAGAACCTCCCCCGGGCGGGAAAGAAATCCAGAAGGAAGAAAGACCAAATATCTGCTGCTCTTTCAGGATGGATGCCAAAGCAGCTACCGTGTGGCAGAGCCGGTTCTACAACTGACACATACATACAGATGTAGGCATCCTAACAGCCACCTTTGAAAAAGGTGCTGGGGGCAGGAAGGGATGGCTGGGGGAGCGGATGGGAAATCAGTCGCAAATATCTGGTCAAGGCCAGCCAAGCACTACTTGGGAGTAGCAAGGCGTAGTGGTTAGACACAGGTCCAGGTCCCCGCTCAGCCACAGAAAACTCCTTGGAGGGCTCTGATGCCTTTCAACCTACCTCACAGGGCTGTTGCTGAATAGCTCACTCACGAGCATTGCCTTGAGTTCCTGGAGAAAAAGCAAACCAGGAATGAATGGCCGATGAATGAATGAATGAATGAATGAATGAATGAATGAATGAACTGCAGGATATATACGGTGGAGCATAACTCGACACAGCGGGTATATATTATGAACCGCATTGCAACGTGCCTCTAGCCTTACTCGTACTACTGGAACTCAATTCAGGAAGGGCAATGTGTGAAAGAGAACCCACAGAGGATAGTCTGTGAATTGCTAAGATCTCTGATGCCTATTTCTCCCTCCAGCCCAGATTTTTGGGCAGAAATTTTGGGCAGAAATTCAAGACGCAGAGAGCTCTTGAATTCGCCTGGTTTGTCATAGGCAGACTTTAGAAGTGACCCGCTACAGTTCTTATACTGGCTATTTCTGCAATATTTCTAAGGATCAAAGAGCAATGAATATCCATCGGTGTAAAACGTCCATAAAATCAAGTGCAGGCTGTCTTGATTTCCAGTGCTGGAGCCAAACACTTCCTTGAAAGAGCCATATACAGGCATAAATTTGGTTCACAGGATACCCCAAGATGTAACAAGGGTGACTTGATTTGGTTTGCCATCTTGTGTGGCCAGCCATGATGGTTCGTGACCCATGTGTCGTATACGGCACAGGAAAACCAACTTCAGCTTGGCACAGGGTTATCTTATAAAGTCAGTGCTGTAAAGCTTTAAATTTACTAACTTATTCATCAGATCAAGATGTTTTAATCCATTAATCCAGCTACATGTTGTCTGTTACAGCCTCAAAAAAGCACAGCCACAGTTTCAGCATAACATCATTATAGTATAGTTTTATCATGTATCATTGTCTCACCAAAAAAAAAGCAACATTTTATGTTCTGTAGGAACTTTCTTGGCCCCAGATAAACAAACTCTACATATTCTTTTTAAATGTTACACTGACAACTATTTATTTATTAGGCAGCTATAAAAAACAAATGCAAAGATTTTGTTGTTTGTTAAAGGCTAGGCAAAACGGGAGCAAAACATTTGTAGATGAAATTTGCCACGGGGGAAGAGGATTAAGGTAGTAAACTGAACATTCTTTTTTAAGGTAATGTAATTAATTTTCCCATTCTCCCAATATTTAATATTAAGAGATGCTCACCTTTCTTATCTCAATTTATATGATACTCATAGGAAAGATCACCCCCTACTGGTGTGGGTTTCAAATTGTGAGTTTCTGCGTGTATTTATATCTTTTCTTCCTCTTCCTTCTGGAAATACAAATCAGTTACATGATATAATTATTTAATGCCGATACTATTTAACAATGTTTTAATCACCTAGTGGAATTTTTATCTTTCTTTGGTTCATATCCAAGGAAAAGCCATAATGCTAGTTTCTGAAATCTTCAAAACTTAAAACATCAACAACCAGTGGAGAAAAAAGATGAAAACCTAGCCTCAGAGAAACTGCTTTAAATGATCTTTTAAGAGGCTGGAATTTTGCATAATTCCATTTTATCAGATAACGAAGATCCATGACTCCAACCCAACTTTCTTTTTGCCACTTAAACTTGACTTTCAACATCTGGTGTGCCAAGAAACCACAAATGTACAAATATACCACAATTCAATGAGATAAACAGTCCCAATATCTGGACCTACAAATCCAACTATTGGATTTAAGAACAGACTCTCTGGATCAGAAGAAATAGAATGAAGGTTTCAATCCACATTTTCTGTTGTCTTTGAACCAAGTGGCATTCATTTGAATTGAGAGCACAAAACATCTGAACTCACAGATACCACAATGCGGTTTTTGTTTTGATAACAATCCCAAACTGAAGTCCAGGAGGAAAACAACAGATATTTTTTCCCAACACAAATTTAATGCCCTGAAGAAACTGCAGCAATTGATGGAAAAGATATTTGTAGCCTAGCAAACTGATTTTAGGAGGGGCATCTCAGTTAATGTCATTGAGCAAACAGGGCCCATCCATCCAGCTTTAAAACTTTGCTCAAACGAGAAGCTAAAATAACACGGAATCTGCCCCACATTTGGGAATGTTTATTCTCAAAGCTATCCAGATTTCAATGACTTGGAGGCAGCAACACTTTGGAGGATTTATGGAGGTAGCCACAACTACAGCCATATTTAAGTCTTTCCACACTCAATTCCTGTTATTAAAAAGTCTAATCTTCCATTTCCAGCACTCTGCAATTAAGCTAAATGTGATGCACTTTCTGCACAGGACATGATCAAATGCAACAGCTGGAGAGGTATGCGCTTCCCCCCTTCTTTTTGGCACAAAACTTTCTCAACATGGCTTACAGACATGCACAGGGAAGTGGCCCTTGCTTTTCACCTTAAAATCCGAAAGATATGACACACAAGGAAATAGTAAAGGGTAGGGAGAAGGAGAAGGCACAAATAATTAAAGCTGCCATTACAGCTGGTTAGGATGAGAATGAGGGAATGGCTACCCACAACAGAAAAGCAGACAAACAAACAGACTTCACTTGTCTATCTCTGCTGCACAGAAAGTTGGAAGAGCTGCTGCTAAATGGGCCAGAGGGACCCATTTCTCAAAAGTACCCCTCCTGTGGGGTTCAGCACCATACTCATAAATCCCATGACATCTAGTCTGGTGGACAGAATGCACCACTTTGTGAAAGAGCACCTATTCTTAAAGAAATGTCAAGACTTCAGTTGGAACCTTCATGCCTCCTCTTCCTTTCTCTTGATTATTATTCATGTATCTTGAATTAAAAAAAAAAAAAAGAAGGATGCCTTGGAGGAAGGGTTCTAGCACCAGAATACTATTATCTTTCCTCCTTCTTGGCTCCATAGCCAACCACTTCTGGCACACAAACAGTCTAGTAAACTTCTGAACTATTCAACCTTGTGGTTGGTGGGTGCTCTCTCTCTGCCTGCCAGCTCCAGTCCACCCACAGATTCCTAAAAGCCCAGAACAAAACAAAGCCAGAAAGACTCATTTTTCCCGTATCTAACAAGCTGTTTGTTTCTTGGGTTCTTCATTTCCCTTGTTTGCCGGCAAAACAACAAGCTCTACCCTGGAACGTCTGCAACCCCTTGCCCCTTCCGTACCTCCAATGAGGAAAATGAACATATTTCTATAGGCCTTGTCTTGTTTAAAGGACGTGGGTGGGGCGGGGTGGGAGCATTCTCTCAAGCTGACCTTCTGCTCTACCAGATGTTCAAAGTGATGAGAAGGGCTGACAAGATGATTGGGCTGTTTTTTGCGATTACCCTGCAGAGCAGAGGGAGGCAGGAAAAATATCTGGGAAATAAGGGGCAACATTCTGCCATCCCTCCCTTTAAGAAAGACTTTAACCCACAGAGTGGTCATGTTTGAAAAGCCAACAAATGTATCGGTAGAGCATTCCAATTTCATGCATGTTTACTCAAAAATAGCTCCCATATATTTTATGTTCCACAGGCTGCAGTCCTATGATTTAGAAGTCCAACCCCACCTGAGCTCAGTGGATCTCCTTCTGAAGTGCAACCCAGCATAAGACTGCACAGTAAAGAAGTAACTGCAGCATTGTTCCCACATACAGTTCAAAATAAGTCAGAGTTTGGCTGCCTTCACAGAAGACAGCAAACCTTAAATTAGCCAAGCGTATTTTACATAGCATGGTGAGCAAACACAGACTCTGTGAGACCAGGTACGTACATGGATGGACTAAGGATAGAAGGAGGCAAAATCAAATCCTTGCTAGATTATGTTGGCTAGTCACTATTTCTCACAGCAGAACGGTTGTGAGAATGACACAGTAGTGAACGTTAACCAAATCTAGAAGACCATGAATAGCCAAGTGTATTTAAGTCTACAGCATTTTGAAAGCCCAGCATATACAGTTAGTGGTTCAGTATGTCATGCAAACCCAGAAATTTGGTTAAATGAGCAAGCTATGGTTTAAGTTAATCAAGGGTAAGTGTGTTACAGGATTGCAGCCAGAGGCAGCAAAAGAGCACTGACTTAATCTCAGTATTAATAGAGATTAATAGAATAATAGAAACATATGCCTATCTAACAGAATTAAATCATCTGCTACAGGGCACTATCATCTTTTTTTAAAACATGTATCTATTTTTCACCTTAAAAGCGTTTCTGGAAGAAAAAAGAAATAAGTCATATAGGCTTTACTACTTAAAAGATGAGTTTGATTTAAAGGAGAGCTTTACTGCTCGCAAGGTGAGCTTTATTCAAGGGAAAGCTGTATTATTTACAAGCCCTCTGCTAGTCATTTTGTGATTTTGGACATGATCGGGGCAAAAATATCTAAAAAAAGAAACTATACAGAATAGGGTTGTCATTGTTCACAACTAGGAGGAACGTTCTCCCTCCAGAGATCAGGTTGGCCCCAACCCTGCTGGCCTGGGGCCCTGAATGTATGAAGGGACCCATCTCCTGTCAATGAGGATGATTATTCTGGTTTTCTCAACTGCAGTGTAGTTTAATTTGTTGTATATGTATCTGTTTTTATTTTTTAGCACTGTTTGCTGCCCAGAGTAATTTGTTGAAATGGGTGGCTATATAAATAGATTAAATTTAAAAAACGATTAAATAAATAAATAAAGTGGTTTCTTAAAAAGAAAATATTGGGGCCACAATGAAGCATTGTGAAGAAATAGGCTGGCTAATTATCAAGGTCATGAAGTGCTCTGCAAGAAAAGCCGAAGTCTAACTTCTATCATTAAAAAAGGTAAAGGTGCCTTGAGCCAAATTTTGACTTTTGTGATTTCATGGAGACACCCATGCAGTTTTCTTGGCAACTGTACAGAAGTGGTTTGCCATTGATTTCAACCTTTTTTTTTTTTTTTT